TGACTGGGTGAGCCAGGGGGATGACGTTCAAACGGTGCATGGTAACATCTTTGTCTAATCCTGGCATTTCTTCATATGTCCACGTGAAAACGTCCGAGTACTTCTTGATCAACTTGATGAGGGGCCCCCTTTGTTCTGCTGGAAGATCTTTGCAAATGAAGATAGGACGCCTGGGTTCCCCTTCAGGGGCTATGTTGATTTCTTCTAGTTCTTGCTTTTGGGGCCGAGGGCCGTCTTGTAAACACTCCGGAGCAGGTCGAACATCTTGCAATTCATCTTGCTTTAGGATTGCAACTGAGTTGGCGGGGACTTGGTTAGGAGATGAAATGGTTGCCTTGGCGGGGGGTTTAACTTTTGAGCCTTTGGCTCCATCCAAATGAGTTATCGCAGGACAATAGGATCTGTCAAAGTGTTTATCTGTTGCTGGAAAAGCCGCGACTTTTTTTCTACTTCTACTCTTCTTGTCTCTATTTTTTTTATTCTTTTCTATTGGCGGGTGTTGGGTCAGCGCAGACAAGGTGTAGCAACAGTGATCTTCTCCACTTAGTTCACGATGGGCGATTGCTACGTCGTCTAGCTGGGGGTCGGCATTGGTAACATTTGCCAACCTCTCGCACCGTCATAAATAGTATACCACTCTGCCATCTTTTGTTTGAAACCTGGTGACTTTAGGGAGCTTTCTTGAAGGCTCTGATTTGGTGAATGTCTTTCTGCGAGGTGGTGATGAATCTTCTTCAGAGAGGTCGTCCTAGTTGGGTATAGGAGTTCCTCGAAGTGGTAGGGGAGGTTCATCTTCATCGACATGATTGTAAAATACCGCATCTGCCATGTGAGCTTCATCTACTCGAAAAGGCTTTTGAGAGCCAGCTATGGCTACTACCTCATTGTTGTAGATTGCTTTGACACATTGATGGTAGGTAGACGGAATCACAGCATATCTGTGAAGCCAAGTTCTCCCTAGGAGAGCCTGATAGGTCGTCTCTGCTTCTATAACATGGAACTTAGTAGTGGAACGAATTGGTCCCACTGCTAAGTCTAACTGGACATGACCTATGGTTTTAATTTTTTGGCTTCCAAAACCGGTGATGGAGATGGGTTGTCTGACTAAGTGCTTTGGTGGGATCCCGGTTGCCTTGAAAGTAGAATAAGGCATTACATTGAGTGAAGCTCCTCCATCCATGAATCCTCTTTGAAACTCCATCCCATTGATGAATACTGGGACGTAGAGGGGACGGTTATGTGGAAACAGTACTTGTTTGTCAGCCTCAGTAAAGGTTATTGCCAAGGAGTTGTCTCGAAATACTTTCCTCACTGATCCGCTTACACTCATGCATGTTTCACCGTTTTGCTCCACAAGTCTTAAAAAGGCCTTGGTGGCTTCAAAGCGTGTTGCTTCAGACAGGCCGAATTGGTCGAAGAACCATTTGAACTTTGTCGATTTCTTAAGCACTATCACACGTTTGGTCTTGAAGTCGGGATAAGTGGGAGCTGCGGGTTCAGAGAACTCGCACACCATCGGCTCTTCCATCTCGTCATAATGCGACAGCATCATGACCATCTTGCCATTATCCTTGTGGCGCGGGAGGGGATCTTTCAAGACATCTTCTGTTTGGCGGGGTAGCTCTAAAGCGTCGTCAGACATCATTTTTCGTACTAGGGATCTGAGTGCCCAACATTCCGTAGTAGGATGTTTAACGGAATGGTGGTATATGCAATAGTCTGCCCGCGCTTGATCCTTTTTGGTGACAGGTCGCCTTGGCTCGGGGAGGTGAACTTTTCCATCTTCTACCTAAGCGTTGAGGAGTGCTTGTGCCTCATCCACTGATATAGGTAACGATGGGGGAATTTGATCAAACTTTCTCTTTTTTTCCTGGGAGTCTCCTCTTCCTCTAAAGGGGCCGTCGGCTGCATATACAGCGTGATTGCGTCGGTTAGGCCTCCATGAGGAAGGTTGAGGTGCCGTTGGTCGCTACGAGTGGGGTTGTGGTGTTGTCATTCGTGCCCTTGATCTTACTGTTTCACTTATGTTTCGGGCCGCAGCACATAAAGCGGAAAAGTCAGGAAAGTGGTGGTTAACCAACTGGAGTTTATAAGTCGTGAGCATTCCTTCAATGCACAATGACACCAGTTGGTGTTCTTCCATTGGGTCTTGAATATCTACTGCTTTTTCCCTGAAACGGCAGACGTAAACGAGGATGTCCTCCCCAAGTCGGTGTGTTTCCCTCATAAGATGAAGGGTGGTTAACCTTTCTTCAACGTAGAAGAACTTGATGTAAAACTTTTTTACCAAGTCTTCCCATGAGGAAATAGAGCCAGCAACGAGGTTAGCATACCACGAGAATGCTCGATCTGTGAGGGATTTGGAGAATTCCCTCATGCGGAGGTTTCGGTCCTCTTGGTGAGCTCCAAGGGCGTCAAGAAAGCGTTAAACATGCTCCCTGGCGTTCCCTTTTCGTCCGTCGAAGCGAACAAACTTGGGTACTGTATATCCCACCGGATATGGAAGACTTGCAATGTGAATAGGGTAAGGGGGACGGAGGTCCAATTCTGGGGAGGCAGGGATGTGACCTTTGTTTGTCTGAAGTAGACTGTGTATGTGTTCTCTTACTACTTCCAATGTTAATGGCTGGGAAGGGTTCTGATCCACTGGGAGAGCTGGAGAGCTGGTCGAAGTCACTGCGGTGGGAGCTCCGCCAATGGATCCAACTTGCGGTGGAGGTATTTGGCTGGGAGCTGACGGAGGGAGCGGGGCAACTGTTTGTTCTCCCATCTGGGTTCGCAAGTTGTTTTGTGTAGCGAGGTTGGCTTCCGAGCCATTCTGGGCTAATGGCGGAACGCCATTTTGTGATGTTGAAAGAGGGTTAGATGATGATGGAAGTGTAGGTACCCTTTGTAAGGCTAGTAGGGCATCCATTAAGAGTTGTTGGTTCTGTTGAAGAGAGGTGACGCTCTCAATCAACGCACGTAGTTGATCCGTTATGACCGGTTGGGAAGATTGTTCTTCTGGAGAGCCGCCGAAGTTGTGTTCCGAGGTCTTTGCCAGGGTCTCCCTACTGCCACCTTGGGATGTTGCTATTCCAGTTCCAGTGTTCTTTTTGGGTGCCATGTGAAGCGAACACCACTCTTCCCTAGTAGAGTATAATGTGGCTGAGAGGTGTGGTTAGAGGTAGTCCGGGAAGATGGCGGGCACTTCAATGGCTTGGGATCATCGGAGGTGGAGAGGAGAAGATCAAGGTAAGCTTGGAGAGGGAGAGGTTGGTAGTGATAGATCTTGAACACTAATGTAAACTGAAAGAGGGTGTTTAAGCATGAGACTTGGTTATATTGTTGTTGTTGTGTCTCGCTACATATACGATACGTTACATAGGCCACAGGAGTATTGGAGCCCAAGCAAACTGTTAGACAGGTGGCTCGTTCTCCTCAACTCTGCCAGAAGTGATATAAGCCCTTCTGCCGTCTGTGGCTTGACGGCAGGCAAAGAGCAATGTTTCATGGCAGGCGGAAAGTAACGTTTCGTATATGCATCGGATGACATGAACGTAAGGTCATTGTTGCCTCTTCTCCAAGCCTGGTCGAGATAGAGTTGTCTTAGCAAGAAGACAACCATCTCAACGAACCCATGACCTCAGCCGCCAGTCCAGTATCCTCTGATGATCCCGAGCAGTAGTGCCCGGGTCCTGCTCTCAACCCAGGCATCCAAGTAGATAAATGGGCCAGGGCCCACCTTAGTGTTTAAGAGAGCCAGGGGCTTGCTTCCAAGCGACCAAGTAGGAGAATGGGCCGCGGGCTTATCTCAATGTTTAGGAGAGCCATTGTTTATCAATCCAAGTCTAAGTGAGCCGGGGGCTGATTGTATTGTTGTTTGGTCTTGGAGCGAGGTATGAAGGACCATGGGCCCTGCGGGGGGGGCCATGGTGCTGCCTATTGCAGGGCTCTTCATATCTAGATATATTTGAGCTTGTATATATGCTCCTAATTAGGCTAAGCATATAGTTTTGGTAGCCTTGGCACATGGCGCCCATAGGGCTCGCCATGTATCAAACATACGACATGCCTGACGTGGTGCCTTATTGGTCTGCCATGTGGGTGGGGTTTTGGTGATGTGGCACCTGTAGGACTTGCCACATATTGACCTTGATACAAGTACCCACAAATATCAATGGAGCAATCTCATTAGCAGAATTCCTAAAGGAATTAGTCATCATAAGCTATATATTTTTGTGTCTGCTCGAATTTGAACCTTCTTGTCCACCTTACTCTGCCATCAGTGGGCTTGTCATTCCCTACTTGCGATGATGGGAAGCAGAAATGGGGTTGATATGAGCAATGGAATGGGAAATTATAATAGTTCAAATAATTCGAAGAGGAATGACAAATCTAATGAAATATCATGTTGTTTTGGACAGAAGGCCTTTGTGGTCAAGAATATGCAAAAAAAAAAAAACAATTAGATAATACTTCTTTGTTTTTTAAAGTTTCCAAAATGATTCCTGTATAATATCATATTTCCCACTGTGTTTCCAGAAGTATTTGAAATGTTCTCAGGGAAAGGAAAGGAAATGAAATCAGAGTTTTCTGCATCCTAATTACTTTGAGAAGCAGACTTGCTAAAATTTGTTTGTAAATGTGGTTTCTCTTCTGTACTAAGACATGCAGTCCTCTGTGTGTGTGTGTGTGGAAACATCACCTCCCTGTTCCAGTTATGGTTTAACACGCGTTTCTTGATATTGAAGTAAAAAGGAAAAAAAAAAAACCAAATATGATAATCAACTGTGAGAATTCAATAATCTTTGGTGAATATTTTTTTTGTTGTTGTTAAAGGAAAGTATTTGCAGAATACCTTCTCATCAACGTTGTTTAATTACCTCCAATTTTAAGATCTTAATCCCAGAATCATGCCTAATTTCAGAAGGAATAGGCAGTGTAAGCTTGGTTTATCTTATTTAAATGTGATGATACATATGTAATTGGCTGAGTTGATGCGTCTTTTATTGTTGTAGTTGTCCTCTGTATGGAGATATAAGAGGAAGCTGAAAGAGCAGAAGCCCTGCCCAAAAACAACTTCTGGACAAAAATTTGGTATAAATATTTTAATTTTGATCTGGTCCTTAATTTGTTTTTTGATCTTGCAAAAATGGATTTGATGATTTTAGCAAGCAACTGCGCAATTTGTCCCATGTGGTAAACTAATATTTGATAGTCAGGTGAATATTGGCCTTGTTTGGAAAATTGGCTATTTGGCTTTTTTGGCTATTTCAGCCTGGCTAAATAGTTGTGTTCGGAAATTGGTTGCCTTTTTTTGTAGTTGATTTGATGGTTGTGAGAGAAAAAGTGAAATAATTATGGGTTGGATGTGACATTTTGTCTTATTAGCTATTTTAGCTTATTTTGTCTTTTGGTGAGCTATTTTAGCCTAACCCTCTTCCCAAACACCCCCATTATAGGACATAACCGTTTTGGTATAAAGAAAGTTAAACATAAGTTTGTCTTTATGTACTGATGAAAATTGGTTTTCATTTTAGGGCCCTCTATGCTTGCTCGTTACTTGGTTGTTGAAGCTAATGGTGGCCTTAATCAACAACGCTCATCAGTATGTGATTTTTCTTGTAATTAATCACCAATGTGGTTCTCATCAACTTTTGCAAATTTTTTTATATTCATTGTGTCTATCATTCTTCTTATACTCGAGTCCATCTTGAAAATGCTCATTAACACTGGGCCTTAACACCCCCCCAAAACACACAAACAGAGACAGAACCAACAGTTAAAAAAGGAAAAGAACAACCCAATTGCATACATGTTCACCACAACACTTCGAAATTCTAAGATTTGATTTTATGTGATTGGTGAGGATATGCATAATACTTTTACTTTTAAAACCAGTATTCAATCATGAGACCGCTTCTCAACAAACATAAATAACATAACACAAGTCCAAAACATTTATATAGAATGTTTTGAGCTCTGTCATGAACTGAAAAGTAGCTTATTTTGAGCCCTTTTCATTTGGATGGATGGAATGCAAATGAACGAATTTGGGTTCAAATGTGCTCCAATAGGTAGCCACTTCCTTCTCAGGAACTGTACATGAGACTTTTGCATCATATGGCCCTTTCAGATACTTCCTTTTGAAAAATGCAGTCCAAACCTACTGGAGCTTTCACAAATGTAAGAGGGAGTAGGCTACTAGTTTGGATTGTGATGCCTAAGGTGTAAGAAAGAGTAGAGGTAAGGGACTATATTTGTTTGAACTCAATCTAAGATATTTAATCTAGATCAGATGCTTGAAAGTCATAAAATCTAAATATATAATTTCAAATGTGAGCTTATATAGTTTTAGGGAAAAAATCATTTTATAGTGGTTTGAGCCCACAGACTTTACTCAAATATAGGTGGAGAGACTCTTGTAGTTTTGTACTAAACTGCAACTTTTACATTTTCCGTTCAAACTGACGGAAGGTGTAATACGTTTTCCATTTTTGAGAGTGGCCATAAATTTTTATTGAAATTAAAGTGAAATCAAAATCCAAAAAGTCATTTATGCCCTTCATCTTCGTCATCATCTTTCAAACTCTAAAAACCCCTACCCCTAAGTTGCCCCACCCTTCCTCCCAACCACCTAATCTACCCTCTCCTCTCCAACCACCATCGCAGCCCCCTCTCCCCGACCTCCCCAACCACCGCCTCCCTCCTCCTCCTCTACCTTCCTCATCACTTCCTGACCTCCTTCCCCAGATTGACTGGTTCACAGTCACAGTTTGCACACAGTTGCATACACAATCATAGTTTGCAACCTATTGGTTCACACCAATGGTTCACACATAGATCCACTGTTAGGTCTTTTGTGATTCCTTCATATGTATAATTTAAATGGCTGGTTGGATCTCTAATCATGGCGTTTGCACCCCACTGGTTCATACTCACCGTGGGCAGCATGTGATTCATTCATTCCTTCCCCAGATTCAATGCTTGGGTCCCTTGTTACCAAAAAATTGCATCTTTCAATTACTGGGTTTAGTTATATTATAGCTTCTATGTAGAGTTTCAATTACTAGATATATATATATATATATTATAGCTTTTATGCAATATTTTTAGTTTTTTTCAATGATATTATTTTGTGTATATTATTTTATCCATTGAAATTTATAGTGGTGGTGGTTAAGTTGAATGCAATGGTTATGATGGTTTTATTTAGGTTGAATACAATGGTGATGTTGGTTTTGTTTTCTCTTAACAGAGAAAGAGAACAAGGAAGACAAGGATGAGGGTATAAAGGTTGAAAGAGAGGAAGGAAGATAGGGATGAGAGTATAAAGGTCTTTTTGCATTTTTCATTGATAGAGTTAATTGCGCACTTTAGTCCAAAATCACATGGGGGCATTTGCACATTTTTAAAAGACGGGAGGGCACATATACTGGGGGTGTTTGGGGCTATACCACAAAGGGGTAAAGTTAATTTTGCCCTAATTTTATAAAGAGCTCCAATGCCAATGAACAATTTCTAAAGAGGAAGAAGCAAAGAAAAAAAAAAAATTAATGGAAAAAGAAAAAAAAAAATTGCACAACTATATCTAGATCACAATGTCAAAGTCTTTGCCAAAAGTTGTAGAATGTGATATGTATGCATCTATTATAGATTCTTTTATTTATGCTTCATTTGGTTGCTAGGAAGATGAAGGAAACCGAAGAAAAGTTTGAAATCTTACAACTATGCGGCCTTTCCCCCAGCTTTCCTTAGTCCACTGACTTATCAAAATTATAAGTTGGCCATCTATGCATGTGACAGCCCACTTTATCCTGCATATGTGCTTTCATAGTTTGTTACTATTTTAACTCTCTCTGTCTCTCCTGGTAGATCTGCAATGCTGTGGCTGTGGCTGGGCTTTTGAATGTGACACTGGTCATCCCTTACTTTGAATTGCACAGTGTTTGGAGGGATCCAAGGCAAGAAACTATCTTAGTTTCCTTTCCATATTGTTGTTCTCGCCAAAATTCAAATCATGTTCGAATAAAATTGCGCGATCTTTCATTTATCCCTACTTAAGTTTCTTTTCTTGAGCAAATCAAACATGTTTGATGCTTTATACATTCATGCCCCTTGAAGGAGGTGGTAAGATAATAGTGGGAATATTCTCTAGGTGGTGGTATTAAAAGAATATAGGTGGCATTATTATATTAATATAAGTGAGATAGACTAAACAATTTTTATGTGCATTTTGTGATGAAAAATGATTAATATATTATATATACATGTACCACTTGGTTTTTTTGTGTTGGCATTTTATTACAAAAAGAATTTGCAATTTGTAATTTTTAGTTTAGGTGAGTTGTGGGCAAGTTCTGTAGTTGAAGATCGAAATTGGATACTCAAGCTATGGTTGGAACAAGTAGACAAATAGATTTTGTGTGAAAGATAAAACAATCATGCATTGTATGACCATGCTTTTGTCTAGGTGTTTTCTTAGTTGGGCTGGTTTTCATTAAGTTCTTGACTATGGATAATTTAGTTTTGGACTATAGGCTTTATTATTCCTACTTCAAACATTGGATCTCCTGTGTCAATTAAGAGGGATCATGGAAAGAACAAGTTCAAAATCACGATAACTTCCTTTTTCAAATCTGCTGCAGCTGCACGAGCCCGTCCTGCGTGCCATCTTATGGGCTTGACCTTTAGAATCGATAGAATTGAACGTTGGACTTTGTGCGTTTGGGCTCATAGTTGACTAGACAGTATGTAAACTTTCAAACACCAACCAAAGTTGGTGCATATTCGAATGAATTGTAGTGTGTTCTAAGAAACATGGACACTTCTAAGTAGGTGGTGTATCCGTGTTGTGTCCATGTTGGACACTTCCCGACACGTGTCTGAGACTCGTAATGTGTCATTTATTTATTATTATTATACAAAAAATAGAACGAGACACTCTTCGGACACTTGAAGGACACACGTGTCCATTGCTTCAACACACGTGTCAACCGATTAGACACACATGAAACTAATTGTAAGTTTAAACTAAATAACTTAGGATATAATAAAAGGAAAAACAATGTAAATTTATAAAATAAGTGTTATATCACATTTTTTTAATTATCTTTGAGTCATATATTCATCTATAGGACATATAATAAATATATAAAATTCTATATTTCGTCTGTGTCCTCCACGCGTTGTGTCTTGCATTTTTGAAAATTGGTGTATCGGCATATTTGTGTCGTGTCACGTGTCCATGTTTGTGCTTCTTAGAGTGTGTTCTTGTTGTAGTTATGTAGAACATCAGTATCTTCTATGTTCGAAACTAGGTTGGTTTGTTCAAACACACAACATTGTGGTTGTGTATTTTAAAGCACTATGAGTAAAACAGTAGCTTCACTGGACGAACGAGATTGCACCGTTCGATCACGTGTTGCCAATATGTGTTTTCCTACCGCATCTTGGTTATAATTCGTTGGATTTCTTATTCCTTGTTCTCAAATGTTTTTTTTCTTTTTCTATAAATTCCAGTCTTGGCTTATTTGTTGGGGTTACATAGAGAGTTCAACACACATTGAGCATTGGGAGAAATTGAGTGGGCATCATATAGTCTAATATTATTTCTTCTTTCATATTCTTGAGAGAGGGTTATTGAGTTTAGGGCACATATACTTAGTGTTTGTACATGGATTAATCGAGCTTGGTGATGGTTGGAGCATATGTGGTTGACGTGGCTAATGGTGGTCTAGAGGTACAAACGTGGTTGGACATATGTGGTGGAAAATTGGACTACAAAATTACTTTGGGGTCGAGTAAGTAGATTCTTAGTAGTAGGAAACGCTTATTGAGGTGGCGTTTCTTATTTGAAAACTCAATTCTGTGCTTTTCAATAAGAAACTTGTAAAAAAATTGCCTCTATCGAGGAAGAAACTTTCCACCAACTGAAATAGAACCTCTCAACCATACAAATCTCAAAGAAATAAAAGAAAAACGACTCAACTTATTCCAATTGTGGGGACGTATTTTTTGGGTTGTCCACGTGGCCGAGGTTGTTAGCTGAGGTGCCACGTGGATGGACCAAGTTGCTGAGATATGAATCCGAGATATTCGGATAGAGGACAAGAGTCGTAGATGTTAGAACTTATTTGGGTAAGGTTGGACTCTTAAGAGAGTTGATCCTAATCTAAATAAGAGAAGCTTTGGATAAGTGATATCCTTGTAAAGGATAAAGCCCCATGAAGTAAGATTTTTAGGAAAAGTTGGACACTAATCATTACATAAAGAGGGCACTCCCGTAGGTCTAAGGTATGTTCTAAACTAGAGTTATTTTGTGTTGATATCTTGTGAGATAAGTTACTGACTTGATCGTCGGAGTGTCTCCGGTTGGACGAGCCACCATGGTGTTTTATGTCTTCTTGTGTGCATATGTTGGGCTTAATCTATTCTTCCATGTGACTCCAATTAAGTTCCTTAGATCTTGGCCAAAAGATCTAGTATGGTTATGGGGTCGAAAATCAACACTCACATTTATATTTAACAAAATAATTTGTAGTTGAATAAATATTTATTTATATATATATTACAACTAAGCAAAAAAAAAAAAATTTAATATAGAAAACATAGATATGCTCCCATAGGTGCTCTCAATCTTAGAAACTTCTATATGCCCTCTATTCTTGCTTTCGTCCCCGTACCCGTCCCCGTCCCCGTCCCCGTCCCTACCCTTGCCCCTGCTGCTGCTTCAGCAACTAAGGTTAGGATTTGTGTGTCTAGATGTTGGTAGTTATTGTACTTGATCTTGACTTTGGTTTGGTGGATGCATTGTTGTCTGAAGTTTTTTCCTGAGTTTTGGTTTTCATGTAAACCTCCTCTCTATGACTGATTGATTTATATTTCTGGACAGTTATTTTTTCTTAAATAACTTGGAATTGATATAATTAAATCAACTTGGATTAAAGGTTTTTTCAATTTTGCTAGACTAAAAAATAACTAACATTATTTTGCTCGTTCTGATTGAAACTTGTTTTTCAGGTGGAGGCTTACTATTTGTAGCGATATTGGGCCATAGGGACCAGATTGGTTGAGTGTACTAGAGTGCGTGTGCCTGATTGGGTTAGAAGGGGTAGGTGCTTCGCTTTGCGTGGCGTGAGAATCAGTTGGTAAAGACTACAACTTGTAGTAGTGTTGAATTACTTAGAGAGGCCACAAAGGTTGTCGGGCATGCTTCTTATGCATAGGGTAGTGCAAATCATGCCATGTGTTTTCTTGTGGAGGTCTTTCTCTTTATGATTGACTAAGGTGCAAGTCCCCTTGAGGAGGATGGGATGAGCACCTCAATGAACCTCAACTGTAGTCATCGAGCAAAGCAACCCTAAATATTCATGCAGAGGTTACAGGGTAGCCCTTAACTGCCCCATGATTGCAATTCCACTCCTAGGCTAGTTCTTGTTCTCGATCTAGACAGGCATAGGAGTATCAATGTGCCATTAGAGAACCATTTGCAAGTCATGTAATTCTACTTGGGTAGAGGATCACTGGGCTGAACTGCGGGTATTCTGAGTATATTAGCACAAGTGGAGATGGGTATACTCGGGGAGTAGAGTTCGCTTGGCATGGAAGGGTTATAGGGTAGCCCTTAACTGCCCCATGACTGCAATTCCACTCCAAGGCTAGTCCTTGTTCTCAACCTAGACTGGCATAGGAGCATCAATATGCCATTAGAGAACCATTTGCAAGTCATGAGATTGTCCTTGGGTAGAGGACCACTGAGCTGAACCGGGGGTATTCTGAGTATATTCGCACAAGCGGAGATGGATATACTCGGGGTGTAGAGTTTGCTTGGTCGAGGAGGAAAGTTGAGCATGTTTAGGAGACTCCTTGTTGATTGCCTTTGAATGCCTTGGCTCGACGCTAAGGCACCACATGAGTTAGCCTTGGCTGGTAGAGCTCTACTATGGAGGGAGGATTAACATGTGGCGAGATCGCATTGACACATGGGACCAAGGAACATGGAAGAAGTGAGGTAGTGATGACATGGCTTTCGTGGATTGCCATGTAACTATATTCTTCAACGAGGATTTGGATGACGCAATTTGGCATATATTTGTATTTTCTTGTGTTCCATCTATTCTTTCAGATATTTGTGATGAGGAGTTTTAATTTCTTTTTCTCCTTTTAAATGTAGTATCTTTCTTGCCAAGAATATTTTCTTATTCAATTCTTCAGCGATTTTTTGACATATAACTGTCTTTCTGTTGCGTCTTGTTTCTTAGGCCATATATTCTGTGTACATTCAATCATAAGAGCTTAAGAAAACTTGTGCAGGCTTTACTTTTTTTCTTTTACTAATTTCTTTTTGGTTGCTTTACAGTCAGTTTAGTGATATTTATGATGAGGGGCATTTCATAACCACCCTTGAGGATTATGTGAAAGTGTCTCGCATGCTACCTGAGGAATTGATGGAAGTATATGATTTCAACATCAGCAATATACCAAATTTTCGAGTCCAAGCTTGGGCTACGGCCAAATATTACTTGGAAGAAGTGTATCCTGTCTTAACGAAGCAGCGGTAGGCACTTAATCATTGTTTCTTTCTTTTCCCTTTCTAATTTGTATCTTTGTGTACCCTGATGATTGGGGCTGGTATAGAATACATATGTTACTGATAATTGGGGATGTCAACAAATTGAATCTTGGAGCTAAGTAGTATTTGTATAATAAAAGTAAAAAAATGTCTAGATTGATAGTCGATATGCACAATACCATCCCTAGTTTTGGCTTCTAAAATTGACAACCCTAGATTTTCTGCTCAGTTTCAGAAAATAGTGATGAGTAAAGGGTGAAGTTATGGATGTTGCTGTTGGGATCAATGATTGCATGGCAGTAGATTTGAGTGGTTCCTCCATATATTGTATGGCAACCTTCTGAACTACAGGAATAAACCAAGGCTGAAATTCTGTGCTGCTGTATTATCTTAGTTACTATTTTGATCTAATTAAATGCTTGAGGTTGATGTGCTTAATTTTGAGTTAACAATACCAAGCCTGGGAATAAGCAAGAGAATTTCTGTTGCATTGCTGTTGGATTTGATTCAAAGCAAAATTTTCAGTTATCAATATATTAGGTTAGGTGAGTCTATCGGAAGTTTGATAAGGAATCCAAGGTGACTTTGGTTGGCTCTTTTAAACACATATAGATATATTTTGTAAGATGAAGAAATACCAATGGAAAAAGACTCAAAAGGTTGTGCAACTTAATATTTTCATGTGAACACCTTTAAGATTGTGAAGTACAGCTGCTGGATGAGTTTGAACTTCTTAGGTAACTTCCATTTATTTGAATCAAATTTTTATATCTAGATGGATGTTCCTGTCTTTAAATTCCTTGATGATAATGAGGGCAAGAAACAAAATTGTCTTTTGTTTCCATTGAAAAGGTTGATAATTTTCCATTTCTTAGGAGACCGAAATGAAACAGCGGCAGAATAATGAAATTTGAGTGTTCTCTTATGTGTCTGAATGTGCAACCCTAAATGCATTCAATTGCTCAATTATTAGATTTCTATGTATTACATTTATAATGTTCAATGTATTTTTAAATTCATTTTTTTTACTTAATCTTTCCGAAATGTTTCCAGAAACATTTCCCTTACCGTGCTAACCAAAACAACATGTTGAAACAAAATTCCAATGATGGCGATAACTTTCCTGTGGCCCAAGAACAGATGCTGTCCCTATTCTATATGGAGATGAATTTGAATTAAGAAACAAAATTAGTATTCCATATATCTCATTTAAATTGCTTCATAGATTGGGATCTGCATATGGATCACTCTATCATTTGTTAAATTGATAACCCTAAAATGCCAAGACTTGAAGTTGGTGTAAAATATTGTGGCAGACACTTATTCTTTCTAATTATTAGCTGTTGATGCAGAGTTATTCGCATTGCTCCGTTTGCAAACAGATTGGCAATGTATATTCCACCTAATATTCAATTCTTGAGATGCCTAACCAATTATGAAGCATTGAGATTCTCTCTTCCAATCTCTACTCTAGCAAACAAATTAGTCAATCAAATGATTGACAAGAGCTCAAGTACTGGTGGGAAGTATGTTTCTGTCCATCTTCGATTTGAGGAGGTACTGACTTGTTTTTATAATTTAGCTTTTGAGGACATTATCTATAATTAAGTAATTTTGGTTGATTAGGAATTTGGGATTTATAATCTGATAAAAATCAACGGGTTGTTGATCTTCAATTTAAGGACATGGTGGCCTTCTCATGCTGTTTGTATGATGGAGGAATGGCTGAGAAATTTGAAATGGACTCAATAAGGGAAAAGGGTTGGGGAGAGAAGTTCAAACGTAAAGCTCATGTTATTGCACCTGGTCTCAATCGGATCAATGGAAAGTGCCCTATGACCCCTTTGGAGGTTAGTTCTAGAACTCAAACATAGCGGGTGTGTTTGGTTTGTTTTGGGAGATAAATTTTCAAAAAAAATCTTGGGAAAAGAGTTTAGAAATTTTTTTAGTTTGTTTAGTAGTATATTTTAGAAATAGTTTTGGAGTATGAGAGTTTGGGATGATTTGATATTTTGTTGTAGTTGAGTAGATATGTGTGAGAAAAGTGGTTGGGAATGAGAGAGGAGAGAGAAAAAGTAATTGATTGATGTGTAGGAGAGAGAATAATTTTGGAAATTTTTTTCAAAAAATTTTCAACCAAACAAGATTTTAGAATTTTTTTTTTTTTCAAAAATTGTGTTTTGAGAGTCAAACCAAACAAGGCCACCATCTTTCAGTTTTTCTTTCTAGTAGATGATATTTGGAGATAGGTATATGGGAGCTTAGTCTCAGTAATCGTGTTGGCTCAATTTTTAGTTTGATAATAACTCTTTTTGTTGCATATGTTTTTCTTTGTCAGCATAGGTTGGGATGATGTTGAGGGGTATGGGATTTGGCAACAACACTCCAATTTATTTGGCCTCCGGTAAAATTTACCAGGCTGAGAGAAATTTAGCTCCTCTACTGAAGATGTTTCCGCTTCTGCAGACTAAGGAGTCCCTTGCAGCCCCAGATGAGCTCGCTCCATTTGAGGTAAAAAAAATTAGTTCTTTGTGTTTCAAAATGTTATTCCCATCATTTTTAAGTACTCTGATCTAGAGTTTACTCTGGGAGCTTGTTGGATTGAGACTGAAGACTAAGCAAATCAACTTGTCTGACTAAAAGTTGATTCTCATTCAACTCAAAGCTGATTTGAGCTATCTTTTTCTTCAACTCAAAGCTGTAAGCTGCAATCCTGGCTGATGAAGTTCATATTAAATTTATAATGCACCATTCAACACAAAACTGATTAGCTGATTCAATACTATATTTGTCAAATTTGATCTGTTCCAGTGGGTCTTTTCTTCAGTGTGCATTCACACTTGTGTTTCGGTGTTTTGATGGACAATGGATGGTGATCAAACTGTAAGGCCAAAAAATTACAAAAAAAGTGATAATGGATGGTGAATGGTGATCAAACTGCAAGACTGGAAAAACTAAACTGCAATTATGATATCATGTAGCTGTGAAATATAGCAATGTTTACATGCTTAATGACAATCAAAAGATTTCACAAAATTTCCCCTCTTGTAAACTCGTAGAAAGTAGAAAATCATAATTAGGATTTTGTCTAGATCCAATCACAAGGCAACCTAGGTTACAGGTATAGTGTGTTTGTTAAGCAAACACAAGCACTTGACTTCCAAGCTACATAACTGAGTGAATACCATACTGGTGGTAAAATATTTTAATAAAATTGGTCTTTAAGTCAAGTTGCCTAAAAAAATAGATTCATTGTAATCTTGTCATAGCAATCTGATTTCTGGTAGAAGTAAAGCCAGTTAGTCCTACAAATTTGGTTAGCTCCTTTACTTGTCTTTTTGTTAATAGGACTATTCTTCGAGATTGGCTGCTTTGGACTACATGGTATGCTTGTTTAGTGAGGTGTTTGTTACAACTCAAGGCGGAAACTTCCCGCATTTTCTGATGGGCCATCGAAGATTTCTGTACAAAGGGCATTCTAAAACTATCAAGCCAGACAAAAGCCAGCTTGCTGTTTTATTGCAGGACACGAACATCAGGTAATCTCCCATATACCTTATGCAAGAGAACTGCCATAAAAGATCCTGTATTGGAGCATTTGTGAAATTACTGAATCAAAGAATAGAATCAATTCATTCTTGGGGTGTCTTACAACTACCAAAACATTATACAAACTCTCTTTTAAGTTGCCAAAGATTGTATAATCTCCTAGATAACAATGGAACTATGCTTGATAAATATTTGTAGTACTTGAATATCTAGCATTTTGAAAAATCCCAGATAACTAGTAACTGAAACGAAACTGTTCTTTCAATGGTTTGCAGTTGGAAGGCTTTCAAGGATAAAATGGAAGCAATGCTAGCTGAAAGTGATCGCAAGGGGGCAATGGTACCTAGAGTTACAAAAAGCAACAGAAAGAGTTCTATTTTCTCACACCCTTCGCCAGAATGCAAGTGTCTTTGGGAATCAAAGAACTCGACACTAAAATGGACCCTGATTTCTCAAATCCCCATTCACTGACTCTATCCATTTTTATGAAAGAAGGCTCATGCGTGAACACGGTTATTCATATGCTTCCAAGTACAGTTTTACTGGAGCTTCTCAGTTGCCTTTGCTTGCTGATGTGCTCTTTACCAAAAAATATGCCATGCATGAGCAGAGAGGCATAGTAAAGTGATGTGGGTTATGAAATTTGACCATTAATCGTGGACATCTCTGCTTCACCTGTCATTGTTTAGCTATGAAGATACTCATATCCTTTCGAGGTATGTACATTGCTTTCAAGTCTAGATCCAAAGGATGTTCATATTCTATGTGATGATAGGAATTGGACAAATGAGATATTGATGAGTTTGACCTACCGGCAATGGTATCTGAACATTTTTTTTTTGTGTTCCTTGGTAGGGAAAAATTCAAGTATAGCAATTTGTTTTAGCTGATATTTATGTTTTTAAATTGTGAAGAAATTAATGACATTACAATTTTTGGGTTAGTGGTGCTCCAAAGGATCCCATAACATTTGCATTGCTATTTGTGTTATTGATGTGAGATTGAATTGAAGATAGGAGTTACTCTTGGTTTGGTAGCAATCTCCTTTATTCTTTTGATTATGAAAGAAATCTAGAATTTAAAGTTGCATGCTGTTGGGAATTGGAAACAATTTATTTTTGTTTTCATAATACTGGTAAGTTATACTCTATTTAGAAGATGTAGACACCCCATTTTTGATCATCCTTAAGACTTGGGTGCTTTATTCCAAACACCCAATGATGAAAGTTACATTGTGCAATCTTTTGAATTCTTAGCGAAGAAATTTGGATTCAGGCTCTAATCCCAAACCTTATACCCCATTTTGACCAAAACTATTTTAAACCTTAAAACCCTTTTTTTCAAAATATTTTTCTAAATGTTTCTACGATGTTTCAAGGCTCGCATTTCATTTAAAATATTACACTTTTCGATAAATCGAATAAGGACAAAGTGGAGATATACGTAAGGGAGGTGAACTCTTTGAAAAATATTTAAAAATATCTTATCTATAGGTTTGGAGTTGAAAGAAATAGGAGGGGATGGGAGAAAACTAGTTTAGGAAAAGATTGGACATCAATCCGTTAAGATAGAAATAAGCAGCCTTCACTAAATTAGGCATATCTCTTTGTACATTTAGAATTTAGATGTGAGGCTACCACCATTGGAAAGTAGACTTCTGGGGTTTCAATTTAGACTTAAGAATTACATAAACCGAGTCCAGATGAGGGAGATATGCCCGTTTGAAGTCGGGCCTAGAATGTACATTTTTGGAGCCGGCCGTGTCCATTTAGATCCGGTCGTGGCTCATTTAGAGCCGACCGGCTTTTAATGAAAAATAGTGAATTTATGCCTTTTAGAACCGGCCTTTCATTTTTGGGTCCGGTTAGCTCTCAATAGCGCCAAACAGACAGTTGGCGGGAATTGGACAGTTGGCTTTGTTTGAAGATATTTTTGACCAAATTGGCTCAAATTCTATAAATAAGACCTCCCACTTCAGATTTTCAGGTTAGAAAAACCTTCCAAGAGGCTTAAACATTGATAGAACATCCATCTTCCTTCCAAAAGCTTCCTTGACTTCATATCACCTTTTTAGCTTTACATACACAATACATACATCATTAGTGCTTGTTCTTGGAACTTTTTGTTGAGATTTCAAACTAAATTTCAAAAACTTGAGGGTGTTGGAATCAAGCTTGTTAACTAAGAGCTTACCTCTCTTTTCAAAAGGTATAATTTTGCACCTTCTCCTTTAATCTTCTTCTACTCTTTTTCCCAATTTTCCTTGTCTTTATATACTAATTTTCAGAGTTTGAAAAGGCTGAAAAATGTGATTTAAAAATTCAAAAGTGGAGGGGTTAGCCACCCCTCCTGAGTCTTGCTTACTAGTTTTGTATCTCTTTGTTTTTCCCTATTTTTTGTGCTATTTTAACATGATTTTGGCCACTGTTTTTGGGCTATTTTTGGACTGTTGTTGGACTATTTTTAGAGGCTAAAATATGTGATTTGAAGTTGTAAAAAGTGGAGGGGTTAGCCACCATTTCTTAGGCTTGCTTACTAGCTTTGTTCTCTTTAATCTTTGCTTACTTTTTCTAGCTTTTCAAACTATTTTCAGCTTGTTTTTGGGATAGTTTTGTCACTGTTTTTTTTTTTTTTGGTTTTAGGGGCTGTTTGACTCATTTAATTAATTTATGTTTTGTATATCATGTTTGTAGTGCAAGCTTGCTTGTCTAGCTTGTCCTCTCCTATTTGTGTTCACTTTCTTCCCCTTTTTGAAGTAATTTTGTCATTGTTTTTACACTTTAGGGGTTGTTTTAATTTATTTAATTAGCTTATGCTTTGAATATCTAGCTTGTTATGTTGTAAGTTCTCATGGCTTCGGTTGTTTAGGCCTTAGATACCGAGTCATTTGAGTTGATGGCTTTTCTTTGCTTAGTTTTCATATCAAGAGTCTCATCCTAATAATCAAGTTCGCAGGATCATTCTACGCTCTCCCTTCTTTCTTCTTTTCTTTCGTTTGAGAGTCATTTCAAGCGATCGATTGTTATTTAAGGCATGAGAAAGAGACATATGCTCAATGGCTTAATCTCTTCAGAGGTTCATCGTCAAGGCACAATCTCTCTTTCATGCTATGGATCACTTCTCGTTTGACGTTTCTCTTTATTTAGTGGACTTAAACATCACTTTGGACAAATTGATTAAAGAATAGAAAGGATTAATAAAATTGGTTTAAAATGAATGAAATTGACATAAAGAAAATGTTTAGATGGTTGGATTTGACCAGACGTTATGCCAAGTCCATCGCTTCGAGAATTGTCACATATCAATCCATGATATGTTGATAAGATTTGGTGCGTGTCTACTTTCCTCTTTGAGCCTTCATGATAGGAGGGAAGGGTGCTTTTCCATTGCATTTACTAAATTTTGTCCAAACGTGCTCGAAATCATCAAGCCATCAAATTGTTCTTATTGGTGGTTTTGGACTCGAAATCGTTCTTCTCTTGAGTTCCCCATGACAGAGAAGTGTATACGGGATAAACAGAGCCTAGAAGAGCTCTATCTGCACTGTTCTCACCTCAGAGCACACAAACAGTTTTGACATAAAATTAGGACACGGCCGACTCTTTTTGGACTCGGCCGGATCTCATTTGGGGCTGATCGGCTCCCAATGTTTGGCAAGCAGCGAGCTTTTTTGCAAAAATAGAGGACAGTGGCTGAGGGTGAGGCAGAGCAGTCTGGGCAGACAGAGCAACTTCTAGAAACTGTGAATGCAATCATTGTGCCTCATTGTTACTTATATTCGTATTATTATCTTATTATTCCAATTATTGTTGTTGTAAATATTAATTGTTGTTGCAATTACATTGGATATTATTACCGTGTAATTAGTATTGATATAATATCTTTATTGTAATAAATTAGATAGTTAGCTTAGTGACCCTTGAATTTGTAATAAGTAGTTAATTAACTTAGCTAGTTAGTAATGTAATTCATTTATTTGAATTTATAATAGTTAGTTTATTCAGACACTTGGACACCCATCTAAACCCTCTTACATGAGGGCAAATATGTAATAACGGTGTATGTCTTTTAACCCCATTTCTTTCTCCAACTTATTAACCTGCTTATAATGGTAGTGTCACTGTAGGAAAATTAGCTTTTACTGGCGTTTCAAAAATATCGCTAAAGCTATCAAAAACGTCGGCAAAACATATACCGGCGTTTTAAAATTACGTTGAAGATACGACCGTCGCTATAACTTAGCGACGTTTTATAAATGCCGTACAAGACTTTTGCGGTGTTTATTTAAACGCCAGCATAAAAATTGTCCCAGCCACAAATGACGTCATATACTAACTTACAGTGGCGTTTTTATTGAAACGTTGCTAAAAGCTTTTTTTCCAAAAAAAAAAAAAATATCTGAACCTAATCAGAATTTTTTCCAAATATTGAATTCCTTCCTTGAAGAAAAAAAAAAAAAAAAAACCAACAAAAGCAAAATTCAAATTATACAATTCACAATAACTCAAACATTTGATCACCTTTAACATTCAAAATAAATTGGAACCAATTAAGCCATAAATATTTTTAGAAAAATACAAATTTGACCAATGGAAATTTATGACATAACAAAAAATTAAAAATATTTACAGATCATGGCACACTACTACTACTTCATGACATTAAGTTCACTCTGCCATGGCTGCTAAGGTGGTACTCCAAATGCTTGCACTTAAAACAAAATAAGACATTTATGAGAATTGGACAAGTTGTTTGGATATAATGCAAAGTGAAAGTGATTAAGGATTGATGGGAATATCTATATCCATCTACTAATAGCAAATATATACTTACAGCTTTAATCTGGTTATTTTTCACCCAATCCACAAACACATTCCATTGAACTCAGATATCCATCGTAGCAATCTTTTCGCCTTATCATTACATTTGGTTCCTTCTCCAACCATTTCAGTGCTGCACATGAGAGAGAGAGAGAGAGAGAGAGAGAGAGCTTGAGAATTGAATTATAGAATGAATAGATAAAAAAAACAGAGAAAATAAAGCAAACTTATACTAGGAACCAAATTAGATTCATCAGTGCCAATGATGCAATGAGGATAGGGATGTTCGAGTTTTCCAAGATAGTGGGAATCAAGAAATGCAAGAACTGGCCATTTCTTGTTGCAAAACACTTTTGTCAGTCTTGCCAATTCATCGATCATTTCATTGATCTAACTGTTGGGCTCTGTGGGTGCCTGAAAAAAACACTTAACCAAACACAAACTCAACAATCATAACATAACAACTCAGTTTCAGACCACAAAGAGTACCAAACAATTTATGTCGTGTTAAAAACTCATTTGAGATTAGTTGGTTTTGTGAACAAGCTAAACTTGAATAGATTTTAAAATCGCTAAGCTTTTTAAGCCAAGTTTAAACAATCTGCTGTGCAAGTGGGTTAGCAGATGGGGACAATCTAATCCATATTAATTTCAAGTAAAGAAAAATCTATCCATTACAAAATAATTGAAATTGGGTAATAATGAAAAGATAGAGAGGGGAGATTTCCAGCTCCAATGGTACAGAAACCATTGATGATGTCGATGAGAACTAAACTAGTCTTGACATCTTCAGATAAAACTACTGATTCTTCCTCAAATGGAATTTCATTCTTCAAAAGATCTACTGTCTTCAATACCATCTTTCAAAAACCCAAAAAAGAGAACCACAAAACAATTCACAGAGCAATTTAATAATTCAACTGTCTTCAATATCATCTTCCAACTGTTATATCAATAACAAAAGGTGAACATCATACGACAACATAGGTCCAAAAATATTCCCTGAGATTTTGGGGTATGTCAACTGCATGTAGATTCCCAACTCCCAGTTGACCTTTCCGTGACAATTTTAAAGCATTCATCATCAAAACGTGATATCGTGTTGTTGAGAATTGCATTTTTG